ATGTCAAGTGTATTCTGAGGAACACAATGTTTCGGAGTTTCATATAAAAACACGTGATGAGAAGATCTGGGGTAGAATTTGTCTTCAGCAACCCATGCATGCCATGAAAGGCGACTATGCTTGTCGTAAGAGGCGACTAACGGGATCGGGTGGTCAGGCTCGCTGACTTTGTTGATGGAAGTCATTGTATCCCAATTGTATGTATCGATGGTCATGATGTCAATCACTGGATTGTCTGGTCCAGACTCGATAATTTACAGATAGCAGTCATATAGCCGTAGTATTATTGATTTTCATTATAAACAGTAACAGAAGGGTCACTGGGCATTACTACTGAAACAACATACTGGCCCCAATAGATGGCCACGTTTTGTCTTTCAAGAATATAACGCTCGTGGCCACCGTGCACATATCGTAACTTACTACCACCAGCAGCAAACATCATCAGAATGCAATGGCCAGCCATGAGTCCTGACCCTTCCCTCATAAAGCATGTCTAAACCATGACCCAGGAACGTGTACCCCGACGTGAAAGGCCTCCCACAACGTTAGCCGAAGTGGCCAAGGCGCTGCAAAAGGAATGGACAAGACTCCCTCAAATTGTCATGGGGAGATTGATTCGGATCATGCCACGCAGTATAGACGAGTTTTTGACCAATCTTTGGGACACGACTCATTAGTGAAGTCATCTCAAACGTTAACCCCTGTCGTCTATCTTGGTTGTTTTCGTCCTCATAATACACAGCCAATATGTTCTGTAGAGTGTCATGTAACACTGCTCCTTCCTTGGTCTTATCCATGCATTACCATCGACCGATACATCTTTGTATTTCTGTAATCATCAGTAACTTTCGAATATCGCCTATTTTGTTTTCAGGTCACTTGATCGCGGAACTGATGTTTATAAGCGTTTGAACGACACATTTTGGCATTCATACGTTTTTCACCCGACTGTTCTTGAAACGATGCAAACACGTACGGACTATACTTCCACAATACTGGCGAAAACCAGGGGAGTTCGCCATCGCATGAAGAAAATTAGAAGCTGTTTTTTTCAGATTTTAGTTCCTTTAATCTTGAACACGATGTTTTATAATACAGTGATAAAAGTCAGTGCGTTTGACAAGCATGAATACCCTCGCTACAGCCCCAACCGAAACGCATGCATATATTGCAGGCATTGAAAGTGTGTAGCAGAGCTACTTCGAAAGCTAAGATAAAGCTGGCACACCTAAAGAAAAAGCAAGCCTTGCAAGATTTTGTTCTACGCAGCACGTCACTATCATAAAGTCCCACTTCAAAGTACATGACGTCACTGACTGATACAGAAAGGCACCAACGTTCAAACCGACAGTTGTCTCCAAAACTTGAAATACACTCCCTCAGTCGAATGCTTTGAATAACCGAACCCCTGCATTTTGTAACCTATAATTGTACACATCATTATTTCAAAACGACTAAACCAACAATGATTGAGAAAGAAGTTCTTTTCTATAAATATTAGCTTCCGTGGTGATGTGGTTGTTAATCATCTGATTTAATCAGAGGTGGTTAATTGTGATTTAAAACCTCTGATTGACCAATGGTGTCAAGTATTTTACAAATTCAAGTTAGAATATCGATGCTAATATTCAGGGAATCAAACACAGAATAAAACTATAAGCCCCTAACATTATTAATGAATGGCGAGTATATGCACGAGTGTTATATGTCACATTAACTGCACCTATAATAGGAGAACCAAGGCTACCATGGTAGATGGTGCCTCTGTACAGTATCATGGTAGAGGGCCTCGCCTTGAGTGTGGTCATCTCTGTACTCATATTATTGGACACGGTCATCTTCATCAGTTTCTTCACATTGTTATAATACAACACACCAGCTGTCTGATCTAGGGCTACAGCAAACATGTTATTTCCTGTGGCTAATGTTTCCAGACCTTGACCATCATATGTTACTGTGAACAGTTCCCCGTCATAACACCCATATATCCTCTTTCTCCTTGTGTCTAAAGTTAGTTGTCTTGGATAGCTTCCGTACTTGGATAAGTCAATGATGGTAGTAAAATCTTTGCCCTGTGTAGACATACGGCTGATTGAGTATTGTGGTTTATATGTGGCTATAAATACGATGTCTCTCGCTTCATCCACTGCCAAGCCTGATGCTCGTACACCTTCTCTAAGTACTGTCACGTGACTTGTATCTAGGGTAGATGACACTATCCTATGAGGGTCGTCAAATCCTATCAGAAGTTTCTTAGTCTTTGCTGTATAGGCAACAGCTGACACCTTCTTCATGTTCAGATACTGATAGACAGTAGGTGAGTTGCTGTGAATGTTGAGTTGAAGGAACTGATGCTGGGTGTGTGACCCGAGTGGAGCAATCAGGATCCTACTTTTCTCCACCTGTGGCCGGGGTGTCGTCACTGACGTTGTCAACAGAGGTGACCTTGGTGTCGTCACTGGCGTTGTCAACAGAGGTGACCAATGTGTCGTCACTGGCGTTGGCAACAGAGGTGACCTTGGTGTCGTCACTGGCGTTGGCAACAGAGGTGACCTTGGTGTCGTCACTGGCGTTGTCAACAGAGGTGACCTAGGTGTCTTCACTGGCGCTGTCGGCAGAGGTGTCCTGGGTGTCGTCACTGGCGTTGTCAACACAGGGGTCCTGGATGAGGAGGCAACATGTTTAGTTGTTTGGGAAGAACGCACGGCAAGATTTGTTTTCAGTTGTGAGACTTGGGACTGATTCGTCTTATTAAATGCGATGAATCGTTCACTATCTCTCTTGAGATTAGCAGTATAAACATCACACTTCTGTAGTTCTATTCGCAGTCTCTGTTTTTCTCTGACACAGACGTCACTTGAGTTCTCTCGATTCCCAACATGTGCCTCTTTCAGAACAGATTCGTGGAATACGCTCGTCTCGTCCGGGAAGTCTTTGAGTGACCTTGAGACATGATGCAGCTGCCTCTTCATCTGATGGTAGCCCTGTTTTAGAGGTCGCAACTCAGTGTTAATCTGACTTTTCACCATGTCTTGAAGGGATTCCCCTTGTAGAATCTCGACCATGGCTTCTCTCACTTGATCCCGCATTTCCCCCTTTAGTTCTGCTTTCAGTGATATCTTAACCACATCTATGATGTCAAGTATTCTTTTCTCCATACGGAGCATATCATACTTGTTGTCAAGCAGATCCTCCTGAAACTGGTTCAATCTGTTTATGACAGACACAGTACTGTCCTGGCAGTTACAAAAACAGATTAATGAGGTACAAGTCAACAGCCAAGAAAGGCACATAAACTCGGCCATTTGTGTACAATATCCTTTGAGTTGCCCGTGTTCGTTAGAGTGATGTGTGCGTCTTCACCACGGTATGGTTCGAAAGTTTGTTTGTTTACTAGATTACCAACGCATCTACCATCTGCCACGCATGTGATCAGTGTTCGCTCCACAGACTCTCTGAAGGTGACCAGATTGTGCACAATGATAGCATCTGTAATCTGAGTTTAACTTCCTGCACATCACATTACGGACCTTGAACTGGACCTGTGTGACCTCTACCTCTGTCATACCCATATCGTCCTATACATGAGTCATGACTATTCTAGGTTGTTGCGTAGTCCCACAAAGATTGACATGTGCTACCAGCGGCTGTACCATACATCCTAACTCTGATAATGACTGAGCATCGTCCTTGGCACTAACAGCTGACTTTGTGGTAACTTTCAACCTTGGTTCCTGTGTCCTACGAGACTCCCCAATACGCCGCACAACTGCACAGACCTAACAGTGCCTAACTTATGACTAGATGCATCTTTTAGCTCCTGCTGCAGCTGAAGAGCTTTCTCGAAAACAGAACACAGGGCACCATTTTGATATATCCAGTTACTGATACTATGTTAAGCACTGTAGAAGCTACCAATGAGAGAAGTCTTTTCCTGCACAGTACCAAAGATGCTATACACTTTCGGCAACAGCTCCGAGAACATGGATGTACATGAGATTCACAATGCTAACCCTTTAAAGACTTCAAAATAGCACTTCAGACAACTACTGTGGAGTGTTCCTTACTCTCAAGCAACCTATCAACCTCATACCTCCAGTCTTCAAAACTAGATACCTTAGAAGCATGTGTAATGCTAACTGTATTGGCTAATAGGGGTAAGGGTAGGGGAGTTGCTGACTGAGAAGATATGTATTCTGCCATCGATTGTTTCAAAACCTCTGGGTTAACAGGCTTTTGTTTTACACCGTTGTCTATGTAGAAACCTCCATTTCATCAGACCTCAGATATGTTAGGTGTTACACTACACTCAAAGCGATCCAGGTATTTAGTGAAGTTTGGATGGCTTCTATGGTGGCCAATTGATTATAAATCTGCATCTGCAAGAATTTGGGGAATTGCACAAATTACACAACTTATGCGCCATGATAAGATTTGTGATGCAAACGAACCATATCTAACACCCAGCTTGTGAAGCTCACACAAGCAGTATAATCGTTTCTTTGTTACTGGGACTTCATGAAACTCATAGCGTGTTATCTGTGAAAATATCTATCCGTTCAAGTAAGTTTAATACTGTTCCTCCAGACTTCAATGGAAATGACTTTGCCTTATATGTAGATAGATATTTGCAAGTAAAATATACTGGCTTTTTCAGGTTTTTCGAGTTTTAAGGTACCCATCTTGTTTAAAATTCAACTTTAATCCCGAAAGTAACACTTTCGGGCATTTCCGCATGTTCATATTACACTAAAAAATGTAAAAGAAAAGTCGGAAATCCAATATGGCCGCCAATAGACATAACGGGACAATATTTCGCCACGGGAACATGAAAGTTCATTTATTAGACACCTTGATGATTATTAAAGAGTAAGTTAAAAAGTGCATCTTTCGGATTCACGGGGACCCTATCTTCCCACTTGACTATGACCCAGTTCACAGCTTCACATTATAGGTCGATAATAGCGATCGTCAGTAAAAACTACACAAAACCGAAATAAGTGTAATTTAATTTAATTTTGTCTCTGCTTGAAACTTACTTTTGAAATATAACTGCGAGATAGCAACATTGTTTATTGTAGCTGAACATTTAACTTTAATATTTACAGTAATATACATATATACACATTACTCAACGTATATACATTTCCTCAACAATTTACAAATTTTGTGACCAATGTCACGAAAGTAACAAGTCATATTTGCAAACAAGTAACGCATCTGTGCAGCAGAAAAAAACATCTAGATGCAGCAGAAAAAAGTATCTGCATGCAGCAGAAAAAAGTATCTGCATGCAGCATAATAAACCTGCATGCAGCAGTAGGAAAGCATCAACAGCATGTAGTATCAGGATTCGAACCAGCACTCGCACTCACTCACACATTTACGCTCCTTTCACTCAAGGTCATTGAAAAGACCCTTAGATATATGCCAGAAGCAGTACGGGTTCATTGACCAAGGTCACACCGGATGAGTGTTGCCTAGTCACAATATTCTCTGTGCTGATTGGCCGAGAGCAGGCGGTTGTTAGATCACTCCCGTCAGTCCACCAGATGCAGCCAATCATACGGTCTGAACTATCTGACTTGCGGCACAGTCTTATATTGCACGGCATCCCTTTTTAGCGCTAACGTAGAGACTTGGACGTTTAATGGTAAATGTACAGGCCTATCACACATGTCGATGTGTTTGATAGCCACCTCAGACTCGGAAGTATCACAATGTGAACAGAACTGGAATTTGGAAATCTCCATTGAAGCTGTTTTTTTTCATTTTCCACTCTTTGGATTTCCTAGAATATCTGAGCGCTAAATGTCCATTCTAGCCATGGCTGGTCCCTGTGCTCCGGACTTGGTGGACAGGTCAAATGCGGCCACTATAATTCTGTAAGGGAAGCATCAGCACATTAGTGGACATATGACCACTGGTACAACACAGACAGTAACGGTAGCTATAAAGGGTAAAGAATATGAATATTTAATTATGATATTATACCGTTTTTTGTTTCTTGTCTTTTAACAATTAACATCTGGCACTCAAATTCGGAACAGTGAGTGAGTGAGTTCAGAAATGAAATCTGTGTTATTATGTATTCGAAAACAAACTGTCGATTGACTCTCACGTCCGTTTCACATTCACCAATCACCACATATATATTCAACTCCATTCATCATAATGCTGATACAACTAATCCACCGTCATCCACCTGTTCTTAAGATCCTCTACATACTCCAGTCCAAGTCACTGCACCAACCCAGATCCTTAACAAACAATTCCGACATCCACCCATGCCATTTCACATCCCTTCCACCTACATTCATCAATACTTGTAAGACCGCTTAACGGATATCCTGTCAACCACTCCAGTGATATGCACCCTAGTTCTTATACGACCGCCGCAATGACCACACCCTAGTTCGTATACGACCGCTCCAGTGACATACACATATGGCTTATACGACCGCTTCAAAGACATACACTCTAGTTCTTACACGACCGCTTCAATGACATACACCCTAGTTCTTATACGACCGCTCCAGTGACATACACATATGGCTTATACGACCGCTTCAAAGACATACACCCTAGTTCTTACACGACCGCTTCAAAGACATACACCCTAGTTCTTATACGACCGCTCCAGTGACATACACCTATGACTTATACGACCGCTTCAGTGACATACACCATAGTTCTTATACGACCGCTTCAATGACATACACCCTAGTTCGTATACGACCGCTCCAGTGACATACACCTATGACTTATACGACCGCTTCAGTGACCACACCCTAGTTCTTATACGACCGCTCCAGTGACATACACCTATGACTTATACGACCGCTTCAGTGACCACACCCTAGTTCTTACACAACCGCTTCAAAGACATACACTCTAGTTCTTATACGACTGCGCCATTGTCATACGCTCTATTTCTTATACGAAACGTTCAATGACATACACTCTAGTTCTAATACGACCACTCCAAGGACATACACTCTAGTTCTTATACGACCACTCCAAGGACATACACTCTAGTTCTAATACGACCACTCCAAGGACATACACTCTAGTTCTAATACGACCACTCCAAGGACATACGCTCTAGTTCTTATACGACCACTCCAATGACATACACTGTAGTTCTTATACGATCACTCCAAGGACATACACTCTAGTTCTAATACGACCACTCCAAGGACATACACTCTAGTTCTTATACGACCACTCCAAGGACATACGCTCTAGTTCTTATACGACCACTCCAAGGACATACACTCTAGTTCTAATACGACCACTCCAAGGACATACACTCTAGTTCTTATACGACCACTCCAAGGACATACACTCTAGTTCTAATACGACCACTCCAAGGACATACACTCTAGTTCTAATACGACCACTCCAAGGACATACACTCTAGTTCTAATACGATTGCTTAAGTGACATACGCTCTAGTTCTTACACGTCCGCTTCAATGACCTACACTCCAGTTCTTACACGACCGCTTCAATGACATACATCCTAGTTCTTATACGTCCGCTTCAATGACGTACACTCTAGTTCTTATACGACCACTCCAATGACATACACTGTAGTTCTTATACGACCACTCCAATGACATACACTCTAGTTCTTATACGACTGCTCCAATGACATACACTCTAGTTCTTATACGACTGCTCCAATGACATATACTCTAGTTCATATACGACGCTCCAATGACATGCACCCTTCTTATATAACCATGGCACCCATTACCATGGATCTTTTATGGTTGGTCTGGCATAAAACCCTACTCACTCGTTCATTTAAATGTTTATTCGATCCCTCCTACATTTCGCAAATCCCACCAGCAACCCCAAGTAGCTTCTGGACTCACCGTCACAGAGGATATCCAGCAGCTGGTTCTGCAGTCCCTTCAGCTCATCATAGTTCTCCACCTGGAAGAAGTGTTGCTGCGAGGGGGCATCACACATCATCTTCATCTCCTTCTGTGGCATCCCATTGCCCACCTGGACCACGTACACCTCCACCCCTCTCACCCGGGCGTGTCGGGCCTCTCTCAGCGCCTTCAGGGGCTGCTCCAGGTTCCCGTCAACAATCAGCACCGCCACTTTCTTTGCGTCGTACCGCCCGCCCTTCTTCTTGTTGAACGACGACCGTCTCATGTCCTTTAACAGGCTGGAAAAGTCTGTCCCCTTCATTTCTGATAGAGCGTTGACAAGAGATTTCTTGTTTCCGTGTCGGTTGAGTGAGAACCCTTCAGTAGGTGTCTGGCATTCTGCTGACATGAGGCCTATCTGTACCTTGTCTTTGTCAATGTCAACCGCCCTCGCTATCGACTTGATGAACTCCAAGGACTTTTTGGTATTGGTCCTTCCAGCGTTCACACTGTCCAGGACGAACATCAGGTCAGCTTCCTGTCTGAAGCCACACGCTGCAGAAAAGACATTCATTGGTTACAAGGTGGCTCAGTTAGGACCGTACACTAGTTTCGGTTTTTTTTAAAAAAAAATCACCGCCAGAGATTAACCAGTCTCGATTATCTCGAAACAGATTCCATTGGGCGTTATCGGCAAAATAGCGATGACAATTACAGGACTGGACCACTGAAACTCATTGATCAACCCAGTGTTCGCGACTGCTATCTGCAAACATTCCAGACAGTCTGGTGATGGACCATTAATTCCTAAAGCCATTCATTTAAACAAACACAAATATCCCTTTGTGTCTGACAAGCAACGTTAATCAAAGCATAGTTAAGAGTGACATATGAACTTACGTTGATCAGCAACAGGAAGCATGGATGGTTCAACTGAAAGATAAAAAATAAAATTAGTGTATTGGCAGTCCAAACTATTTTGATTAAAATCCTTTAAACACCACACGTTAAATATTACAGTGTATTGAATAAATAAAGTTATAGTTATGCTATACTCCTATGTATAGTTTAATAAAGGATAGTTTTGCCCTTAACTATTGTAGTTAAGGCACGAGGACGTTTACATCCTCCAAACATCACAAGATAAATATAACGGTGTATATAACAGTTGATAATGGCGCCATATTCCAAGTCTCCATGTTTAAGCGATAATTGACTCGTAGACCTCGATGGTTATTATTGCTGTACATTAAGGGACGTGTGGCCCAGTCGCCTGAGGTGCCGCCGTTCACTTTGAGCCTATGATGGTGGGTTCCAATCCCAGATTCGTCCTGATCATGTGTCTACATGTAGGTTTGTCAGCACCATAACAATAACTGTGTTTTCAACCAGTGGTAAATGTCTGAGACTTGAATTACTTCGGGCTTTCCTCCAACATCAAGCTGACGCGCCGTGGTGTAACTGAAGTTCTAATCAAATCAGTATTAAACCCAAGTCAATCACCCATGCCTACACATTAAGAAGTAACAGTCACATCACTGCTCTCACCTGCACAGGCGTCGGTGGTGAACTCGGGAATAATATCCTGCAGATTCTCGAAGCTGTCCAATCTGAACAAACTTCGTCCATCCTGACCATTGGTCAACACTTGCATCTCTTCGTCGTTCACATCATCACCTGCAACGACACACACGAAAATAGGGAACAGTCAAACAGGCCCAAGTCTCGCTTTCAGATTTTGTATAACACTCAATTTGTGTATTTCTGATTAACTAAATTTTTTGAAGATAGCTCAGAAGGTTCAAACGACCAATCAATCAGACACAATTTTCTTGAATCTCTCAAACCTGCCCCCTACAAACCTTAAGACAGTTTTGTTTCGCGAGGTTTATTCATTTCTTACTTGACGAGAAAAAAAGAAGTTTCTTTGAAACAAAAGGTGTTGAAGTAAGTATCAGTGTTTATTTTTGTTGGGTGTCATATAGTTGTTTTAAACTTAAAATTGTAAAATAGACAAATAATATTAAGTGATTTAATTACGATTATCGATCGGTTTAAGGAATCCAATCAGCAATCATAATTTTACATCTAGTTCCGAACACGACACTTAATTTAACTGCATAGTAAGATAGGAATATTTCAGAGAACCACGTGTTACAGACACAAATGAAAATTATTTCAACGTAGAAGGAATTATTACCTGCACCAATGGCGAACAGTTTGATGCCACTTTTTCTGGCCATGTCTGCCTCCTTCTTAGTCCTGCCGATGTTGTAGGACTGACTCGCTGCCAGGATGACTCCGATTTGCGCGACATTGCGTCGAGCCAGACTCCGTCGGAAACTCTTGGTCCTGATGTATCGAACAGCCTCCCCGATGCGGGTTCCCCCAGCACTGCGCTCCACCGCCAGGAGGCCGGTAGTGACGTCATGCACATCCTGGTACGTGTTGAGTTCGAACCCCTCCAGCACCTGGTCGGTATAGACGATTAGACCAACTCTGGTTTTGTTGGGGCCAATGTCAAGGTTCTTGGCGAACTCTCTGACAAACCGGATCTGGTTCCAGAAGTCCTGTGTGCTGATCTGGTTCGAGGAGTCCAGGGCAAACACAATGTCTGCTTTCTTGTTCAAACATACTGAAGAGAGATGGTTGGTAGGTATTAGTTGAGTGAGTGAGTATAGTTTCTACCAATATTCAACCAATATCAAGGCGGGGACACCAGAAATGAGCTTCACACAATGTATCCATGTGGGAAATCGAACCCTGGCCTTCAACGTGACGAGCGAGCGCTTTAACCACTAGGCCCATGGTATGAGTTGAAGAGACGTGTGAACTTTACAAACACGTAATTACGTGGACAGCTGGCTAGAAAATCGATGGAGGGAGTTCGAGAAGAATAATCTGATCTACATGGATACATGCTGTACTTCAACGATATAGCTTAAGGGAGATGAATGGATGAATGCGTTAAAATATAAAGTCACATCGGCAGTATTTCAGCCTTATCGTGACTATAAAAAGTTGTGTATCAATAACAAATACATTTAGACAATAAAAAGACCTGTCATTAAGAGGCAATAAAGTTTGTAATTTTGCAATTTGCAAACGTGTAATCGTCTGGTAAAAACTGACGCATCACGGCACAACAAACTCTAGACACGTGCTACTCACTTCTCTGCAGCACGTCCATATATGATGTAGTTGTTGACGGGGTTGTCGTAGCTGGAAGAAAAGTACAAACATCTTTTACATCGTCCCGGGTCACACAAATACATGTAGTCATCTTTGGCCATTTTTATTAGTTGGATGTTTTCCTCCAAACTTGAAGTCGGTGGTGGATAACCCCCAGAAAAAGCACTTTGAATATTTTGTTTTGTTGTAAACATATGGTAGGTATTAAAATTTAAAATTTTAATTTAGTGTCATAATGGCCAAGATCCTGAACAATTATTTAACCATGCTGTCGTGGTGAGTTAATTATGTTGTGTCAGCAACAATTTGTTGTATATCTTATTGCTGAATGGGGTTTTCAGACTTGTCGGTAATAAAAACAAATGCCTTTCTTACCACATTTTTGCTTTAATAAAAGCAAACGCCTTAAATCTAAAGAATTCAGTCATTATTTAGATAAAACCTGATGTATTGGTCCACACATTACAGAGCACGTGAGTCCGGCAATGAGACTTACTTGTCCTGATGGTGGTGCGGACCTTGGGCACAGCTCGTGTAGTTTTCTCCGGCGGGCCTGTCACTGCAAGGGAAGCATCACTAACGTTAACCCATTCTCTATGCTTGTCTCGAAGGTTAATCAGCATCTAACATAACAGGAACAGCCTTGGGTCTGTTTGCTTCTACACAGCGCATATTTTTCCATTCTCTCTATAGTTAGTAACATCGTGTCTATAGTGCTGAACGTCTCCTATATAGTTACACCTTGTTTAATACTCTCTGTGGTGCTGAACGTCTCCTATAGTTACACCGTGTTTAATACTCTCTGTGGTGCTGAACGTCTCCTATAGTTACACAGTGTTTAATACTCTCTGTGGTGCTGAACGTCTCCAATAGTTACACAATGTTTAATACTCTCTGTGGTGCTGAACTTCTCCTATATAGTTGCACCGTGTTTAATACTCTCTGTGGTGCTGAACGTCTCCTATAGTTACACCTTGTTTAATACTCTCTGTGGTGCTGAACGTCTCCAATAGTTACACAATGTTTAATACTCTCTGTGGTGCTGAACGTCTCCAATAGTTACACCTTGTTTAATACTCTCTGTGGTGCTGAACGTCTCCTATAGTTACACAGTGTTTAATACTCTCTGTGGTGCTGAACGTCTCCTATAGTTACACCGTGTTTAATACTCTCTGTGGTGCTGAACGTCTCCTATAGTTACACAGTGTTTAATACTCTCTGTGGTGCTGAACGTCTCCTATAGTTACACCGTGTTTAATACTCTCTGTGGTGCTAAACGTCTCCAGTAGTTACACCGTGTTTAATACTTTTTGTGGTGCTGAACGTCTCCTATAGTTACGCAGTGTTTAATACTCTCTGTGGTGCTGAACGTCTCCTATAGTTACACAGTGTTTAATACTCTCTGTGGTGCTGAACGTCTCCAATAGTTAAACAGTGTTTAATACTGTCTATAGTGCTAAACGTCGGCCCAGCTGTCTTGAGGGAAGAACATAATAGTAATGTCCGATGTAAGATGGTGTACAATGTATGTAGCTGTTGAAAGGTGTTGTACAATGTATGTGGCCGTAGAAGTGAGTGAGTGAGTTTGGTTTAACGCCGCTTTTAAATGTATTCCAGTCATATCGCGGCGTGTCAGCTTAATGTGGGAGGAAAGCCCGAAGTGATGCAGGTCTTAGACGTTTACCACTTCGGTGAAACCTACGAGCACGGGTATGGTGCTGACAAACCTAGAAACATAATCGGGGCGAACGGGGATTCGAACCCACAATCATAGGTTTCTGGCATGCCCAAGGGACGCAACACTGCACAGCGAATCGCGGCGCCTTAGACGACTGGGCCACCCGTGCCCCCTGTGGCCGTAGAAAGGCACTGAACAATGTATGTGGCCGTTGAAAGGCGTTGTGCAATGCATATGGCAGTTGTAAGTCGTTGTGCAATGCATATGGCCATTGGAAGGTGTTGTACAATGTATGTGGCCTTCGAAAGATGTTGTGCAATGTATGTGGCCGTTGAAAGGAAGTGCATATGGCCATTGGAAGGTGTTGTGCAATGTATGTGGCCGTTGAAAGGCGTTGTGCAATGCATATGGCCATTGGAAGGTGTTGTGCAATGCAAATGGCCATTGAGAGGTGCTGTGCAATATATGTGGCCGTTGGAAGGTGTTGTGCAATGTATGTGGCCGTTGAAAGGCGTTGTGCAATGCATATGGCCGTTGAAAGGTGTTGTGCAATGTATGTAGCCGTTGAAAGGCGTTATGCAATGCATATGGCAATTGGAAGGTGTTGTACAATGTATGTGGCCGTTGGAAGGTGTTGTGCAATGTATGTGGCCGTTGGAAGGTGTTGTGCAATGTATGTGGCCGTTGGAAGATATTGTGCAATGTATGTGGCCGTTGGAAGGTGTTGTGCATTTCACATGGCCATTGGAAGGCGCTGTACATTGTACATGGCCGTTGAAAGGTGTTGTGCAATGAATGTGACCTTTAAAAGTAGTACAATGCATATGGCCGTTGAAAGGGGTGTAGCTGTTGTAATGTACATGACCATTGAATGGTGTTGTGCGATGCATATAGCCGTTGAAAGGTGTTGTACAATGTATCTGGCTGTTGAAAGGTGTTGTACAATGTATGTAGCTGTTGAAAGGTGCTGTACAATGTATGTAGCTGTTGAAAGGTGCTGTACAACGTATGTAGCTGTTGAAAGGTGCTGTAGAATGTATGTTGCTGTTGAAAGGTGTTGTACAACGTATGTGGCTGTTGAAAGGTGTTGTACAATGTATGTGGCTGTTGAAAGGTGTTGTACAACGTATGTGGCTGTTGAAAGGTGTTGTACAACGTATGTAGCTGTTGAAAGGTGTTGTACAATGTATGTGGCCGTTGAAAGGTGCTGTACAATGTATGTAGCTGTTGAAAGGTGTTGTACAATGTATGTGGCTGTTGAAAGGTGTTGTACAATGTATGTAGCTGTTGAAAGGTGTTGTACTATGTATGTGGCTGTTGAAAGGTGTTGTACAATGTATGTGGCCGTTGAAAGGTGCTGTACAATGTATGTAGCTGTTGAAAGGTGCTGTACAACGTATGTAGCTGTTGAAAGGTGTTGTACAACGTATGTGGCTGTTGAAAGGTGCTGTACAATGTATGTGGCTGTTGAAAGGTGATGTACAATGTATGTGGCTGTTGAAAGGTGCTGTACAATGTATGTGGCTGTTGAAAGGTGTTGTACAAAGTATGTGGCTGTTGAAAGGTGCTGTACAATGTATGTGGCCGTTGAAAGGTGTTGTACAATGTATGTGGCTGTTGAAAGGTGCTGTACAATGAATGTGGCTGTTGAAAGGTGTTGTACAATGTATGTGTCTGTTGAAAGGTGCTGTGCAATGTATGTGGCTGTTGAAAGGTGTTGTACAATGTATGTAGCTGTTGAAAGGTGTTGTACAATGTATGTGGCTGTTGAAAGGTGCTGTACAATGTATGTGGCTGTTGCAAGGTGTTGTACAATGTATGTGGCTGTTGAAAGGTGCTGTACAATGCATGTGGCTGTTGCAAGGTGCTGTGCAATGTATGTAGCTGTTGAAAGGTGTTGTACAATGTATGTGGCTGTTGAAAGGTGTTGTACAATTCATGTGGCTGTTGAAAGGTGTTGTACAAAGTATGTGGCTGTTGAAAGGTGCTGTACAATGTATGTGGCTGTTGAAAGGTGCTGTACAATGAATGTGGCTGTTGAAAGGTGTTGTACAACGTATGTGGCTGTTGAAAGGTGCTGTGCAATGTATGTGGCTGTTGAAAGGTGTTGTACAATGTATGTAGCTGTTGAAAGGTGTTGTACAATGTATGTGGCTGTTGAAAGGTGTTGTACAATGCATGTGGCTGTTGCAAGGTGTTGTACAATGTATGTAGCTGTTGCAAGGTGTTGTACAATGTATGTAGCTGTTGAAAGGTGTTATACAATTCATGTGACCGTTGAAAGGTACTGTGCAATGTATGTGGCTGTTGAAAGGTGCTGTACAATGTATGTGGCTGTTGAAAGGTGCTGTGCAATGGATGTATCTGTTTCAAGGTGTTGTACAATGTATGTTGCTGTTGAAAGGTGTTGTACAATTCATGTGGCCGTTGAAAGGTGCTGTGCAATGTATGTGGCTGTTGAAAGGTGCTGTACAATGTATGTGGCTATTGAAAGGTGCTGTGCAATGTATGTAGCTGTTTCAAGGTGTTGTACAATGTATGTAGCTGTTGAAAGGTGTTGTACAATTCATGTGGCCGTTGAAAGGTGCTGTGCAATGTATGTGGCTGTTGAAAGGTGCTGTGCAATGTATGTGGCTGTTGAAAGGTGTTGTACAATGCATGTGGCTGTTGAAAGGTGCTGTGCAATGTATGTAGCTGTTGAAAGGTGTTGTACAATGTATATGACCATTGAAAGGTGTTATGCAATGTGTATGGCCGTTGTAAGGTGTTGTAGGATGTAAACAATCCAATGAAAGGTATTGTGCACAGTATATGGCTCGTGTAATTTGTTGTACAATGTATATAGTCTCTGAGTTCTCACCTTGACACGTTCTAAGTGCAAGCTTCTCCTTGAGGTTGTCGAGAGCGGAGTATCCCCCGACCTGGAAGTAATAGTCCAGAGACGGCTTGCTGGAGATCCCCTTCAATTCCCTCAGGTTAGTCATCGACCCCACGCCCAGAGCAAACATGTTGATGCCCTCCTTCTTGGCCTTGGAGGCTTCCCACACTGTCTTGAGGATGTTGTGAGACTGTCCGTCGGTCACCACGATGCCGACCCTAGACACGCCCTTCCTCCCGCCGTGCTTCGCGTTGAACATCTTTCTCCGCATGTATCTATTGGACAATAACAGTTCGTTTTACATCAATAGCACCGTTGTCAAGGTACGTTTAGTCTGGTATGACTAATTTACACTGTCTTACTCCGGACATTGAGCCGTGACATTTTGCGACCAGGGGTCCGTTCCACAAAGCGACCTTAACTGTAAGTCGATCGTAATTATGTAAGTCTTACATGCTTCAGTCGTAAAGGTAAGACAATTTGTGTCGCAATATATCAAAGATCAATGTCTGCTTTAAGAGACAAAATGTCCGATAAGGAATCATAGTCAAGGGCGCCGTTTCACAAAACGATCTTAGCTCTAAGGCGGTCTTAATTCTCATTTATTATGTTTTACAAACGACAGTCATAGAGTTAAGGTCACTTCGTGGAACCAGGTACTGGGAGTATGATTCCTAGGCGAACATTGTGTCCCTTTAGAGCAGATCTAGAAATTAACGCCGGGCATTACAGTAAACTACGGTTATAACGAACTCAAAGGGACAACTAATTTTAGTTCGTTATAACCGTAGTTCGTTATAAGCATATATGCAGCATATATACAACAAATGGCCGGGACTAAAAATGTGTTCGTTATATCGGTCAGTTCGTTATAAGCGTGTTTACAGTTTACTGAACATGTAAGGCACTGGTTCCTTAGGATTAGTGGTCGCCTAGTCGCCTGGTTCTGAATGTCCTTACACATTGGACAATAAGTTTGACTGTATATAGGTATAGTAAGGTGTTGTACACCGTATATGGCTGATGTAGCGTGTTGACAATGTATATAGACAGATGAATAGGTGTGGGTAAGACGTACCTGATAGCTTGAGCAGTGTTTGTTGCCTCGCCATTTGTCTCCTTGATGTTGAGAATGGCGTCTATCATGTCATGCTTGTTGAAATAATCGTCCAGGTGAAACTGATATTCGGTGTAACGACCAAACGTCGCTATGGCAACGCGGGTGAAGTGCTGGCCGATCTGGAACATGCTGACGACATCGCCGACAAACTCAAGCTGCTTGACGAAGTCAGGGCCCCAGATACTGTTGGAGGAGTCGAGCAGGAAGACGACGTCGGCAGGTACACCGCGTTGACACACAGCCTCTACAACACGGGAATCCAGATTAGACCAGTGCCCAGTCATGACACCACAAGCCCGTCTCACAAAGCCATCTTAGCACAACGGCTCTCGTAACCCCAATTCCTTATCACAGACTTACGACAGTCGTAACACCAAGATCGCTTTGCGAAACGGGACCCAGTACATAAACACTTACAACAGACAATTAGGACAAAACAGCGACACTGACGCGCAGTAATCACATTTGCAATGAAAATATTATTTCGCGTTTTGCGCTGTTAAAATCGCAGAGCTCATCTTTGAAGAACATTACGATGCTGAGTACAATATAGGATATGCTAAGCCGTAGGTATACTGATGCAAGTTACGATATTAGCAGCTTGCGATACTGGAATCCTTGTAATACATGACAGTACATCTTCATCATCAGTTGCATCTCATATTCATCACTGAGCTGTATTATGTTACAACAGAAGTACGTGTTATGTACGAGCGCTAACGCAGCAGCTAACGGACACTCATGGTCTGTGCAGAATACCTTGCAACAACAGGACTAACCCATACACATACACATGAACATGTTTATCACACACGTTGTACTGGTTATAACGAACTTTTTCAAACGTCCCGACTACATTACTACATATTATCTATAATGTTTTAGATGTAGGAACTAGTGCGAGAGGATTAAAGGAAATAGGATTAATATAAATGAGTCAGTTGTAGTGATTGTAATAAGGAAATACAAAAGAAAAGAATAAATATTATTCTTAAGGATAGCCTCGACCATGACCAGTTACACATAGTCAGAGTATAGTTATGGAATCAACACGGAACGAATGTCATATTCTAATTATGTTTTTCGATCTCATAATGTAAATAATAACATTTACCCCTTTGTTTGTAAATCCTTTACTGACATAAAGATTTGTCTGTATACAGTACAATTTACTTGTGAAATATTTAATATCCCATGCCATAATTTTGTTGCAAATGTCACTATCCATGTTATATAATAGTTTCATTAATTCTCAGTGTACGAGATAGACTGTCGCAGGATATTGTGCACAGATCTTGGCATAGCAACTTGGACATACCTTCAAAACACTACATGGCTTTGAACAACATGTTGGGACGCTCTAGACTCACTACAATACCAGAACATTCACAAACACAGAACACGACAGGGAGTGGCAAAAGAGCGTAGAATACGAGGAGAACGACGTTATAAAATTGTGTGTCTATAAGGTGATACATATTTCCAAGTTAAGGCGAGTTGTCGGATCTCCGACGTCATCCTTTGCCACTGACCCCTGGGACAACACACAAAGGACAAAACACACTATGCCATGCCGCCATCGTCCATTTTGTGACATGCGCAGTGTATGCGTTGGAGGCCGCCATCTTTGTTTCTGTATGGCCTGGCGTCCATGTGCAGTGTTGTGTTTGTTGTGTGACAGATATCAAGATATGACACGAATGTCGTCAAGACTCAGTATCGACGCTGAATGTGTGTGTTTTTGCACTAGAATGCTAGACATTGCTGAAACCTAAACGCTTTCAGACAGCAAACACACCCAAGACATATATACCAGGACAAAAAATGCGACTACGATACTCTATAACACTGGGAAGACTAAGGTTTGATGGTTAGTGTTTACCGTATTAGACTGGCATGAGTGAGTGTGTGGTTATGATTCTACGCCGCTTTTAGCAATATTCTAGCAATATCACGGCGGGGAGCACCAGAAAGGCTTCACACATTATACCCTTCTGGGGAATCGAACCCAGGTCATCGGCGTTATGAGCGAACGCTTCAACCACTAGGCTACCCAGACTGGCATAAAAATGTGCATGTGTTAGAGTGAGTGGGTGAGTATGGGTTTACGCCGCTTTTAGCAATATTCCAGCAATATCACGGCGGGGGACACCAGAAATGGGCTCCACATATTGTACCCATGTCGGGAATCGAACCCGGGTCTTCGGCGTAACGAGCGAACGCTTTTAACCACTAGGCTACCCGACCGCCCCTACATGTGTTAGAATCATACACATATCTACACGTGTGTACGTGTTACAACCGCAATACAGACGCTGGCTAGATTTGTTGACGTTAGACAGAAGGAGGGGGTGCTGTTCACGCCGTGGTCAGCAATGTTCAAGCTATGTGACGGCGCCTGTAACGTCGGACCGAGCGTTGCCCTGACCCTGTTAGTGTTAGCTATATATGACGAAGGATAAAGATAATATAGAAAACTCAAGTATAATGTCCACATCAGGTTATGGTAATTCTTATCTTTGTTCGTACGTTTTGTAACTGTTTTGACACTGCGTCTGGTATTGATTTAGAAATTCTGCCCAATAATGAAGCTCAGTCGTTTGTTATTAAATCAAGACAATCTATAACACAAACGTGAAAGAACTGTATTAAGTTGGCAATTCAAGAAACGGCAAATTGACTATGTTTCCACTGCTCCTAATCCATGTTTGTTTGTTTGTTGTTTAACGCCGCACGCAGCAGTATTCCAGTTATATATGACAGCGGTCTGTAAATAATCGAGTCTGGACCAGATAATCCAGTGGTTTGACATCATGAGCATCGATCCACGTAATTGGGATACAATAACATGCATCAACCAAGTCAGCGAGTCTGACCACCCGATCCCGTTAGTCGCCTCTTACGACAAGCATAGACACCTTTTACGGCCAGCATGGATTGCTGAAGACCTATTCTAACCCGAATCTTCAGGGGTTTCTAATCCATGTCCCACATAAACGCTGCGTGTACTTATAGCCTGGTACTCTTGTGTACTTGTGTAGGGTGAGGTGTACTCGACACATGCACATTTCTACAGTGGATGTATTCATGTGCATGAGGGGTGTTCAAATTTACTGGAGGCCCCTGTGACATTGTTCGGTGTAGTGCACACTGACTGTAGTCGACTTCTGTCGCCTAAGTAGAAATGGCTAGGGAAACTAAACAGAACACAAAGCCAAACAATGTGGACATTCACTCGAATGCAGTCAAAGCAAACTCAGAGGGTGTCAATGTAAATCTCTAAGTTTCTCAACATTACCTGACAGTCCTGAAATAAACGTATACAAAGAATTAGGACAGACATATAGAATTGAAACAAACATACATGTACAAAACACCGGACATTCCTATCAGTTTTCTAATATTACTCATAATGTAATGTTACATGACACGTCCCGCTCCCCTCCAGATACTCCTTTAGAGTCCGAGCATTTTAGATTCAGTGTGTGTATGTGTGTGTGCGTGTATGTGTTTGTGCGTGTGTGTGTGTGTGAGAGAGAGAGAGAGAAAGAGTGAGAGAGAGAGAGTGAGAGAGAGAGAGTGAGTGAGAGAGAGAGAAATAGGGAGAGAGGAAGAGAGAGTGAGAGAGAAAGAGAGAGAGAGAGAGAGAGAGAGAGGAAGAGAGAGTGAGAGAGAGAGAGAGAGAGAGAGAGAGAGAGAGAGAGAGAGAGAGAGAGAGAGCGTGCTTGCGTGTGTATTATTTTGAAATATAAATGAATCTGTTTCCCGAAAATGCTAGAAGAACACCATTTTTCACAACAAATAGTTCACAGGATATGCTGGATGTATTGGTCTGAAATGTTATATGTTGTGGGGTTCTAAACGAATTGTGTTGAGCTGCTGTCTGAAAAAAGAACATTCTCCAACACGAATCCCAGCTGCACATACAATATATTCATGAATACATATAACTATCATAGTACTAGATCCTGTGTTGTCATTCTAGGGTGCAGGAAATACATGAATTGAAACTTTATAATATATTTAGACGTAAAGGCGCAACTACTTGTATCTTGTGGATAAAGAAATGGCTATTGATAACCATGCATGCTTGTCAACAGATCTGTGAATCTTAACTTGGCGAAGGCAGTGTATACAAGGGAAGTAACTCTACAGTAACTAGTACCTTTCGTCTTCCAAGTCAATCCTTTAATATATCTTTTAACATTCTGATACGTTACTCTACTGTATGAGTAGGTTCTTTAACATGTTGATAATTCATTGACCAGGAAACCTCCGGCCCCAGATTTAATTGAGAGATAATCTCAAGGTTTTACTCTGGACTTTTGATATGAATTAAATGTTGATTTTTAATTGCTTAAAAGTCACATTTGTTTCCACATGAAAATTCCATGACGTGACTCGAACCCGAACGTCATATATCTAGTTTAGTTTTGTATTAAAATGCTTTCCCACCGTGTTCAATCTTACATGTCATGACTTAAGTTGTGTGCATGCTGCACGTGGTCTTTATCACGCTTTCGTCAATTCCTTTTAGACCGCGAAGCAATGTATTGTTGCACTCACTATAAGTTATCCCGATCTCTACTTATTCTTCCTGGTATTTCTTTCATTTAGACGGTTCCTGAATTGGATAAAAACCTCCTCGGTCGCCCGAATATCCCAATGCCCAGGCCTTACAATCGCTGTCAAAACTTCCTTCGCGCTTTTTATCCTTTACTATTAACATAACATCCCAGGATGACGAAGAGATAGCCACATGCATACACCTGAGACGTAGTGCACTTAACATAGGCACCCTTCACTCATAAGCTGGGCAGGCTAAACGTTACATCCTGTCATGTTTCCCTCAATAACCTTTCTCTCCTAACCGCTAGGTAGAGATATATATGAAGAAATGGGACATTCGTGTTGACTAATCAGTGCAGCAATATGAACTTAACTGTTAACTTCTGCTGGAAGAAAGAAAGTAAAATGTTCTTTATCGTGACATTGAAAATTATTTGTCATATTGCGACGTACATGCACGTGTGTGTGTGTGTGTGTGTGTGTGTGTGTGTGTGTGTGTGTGTGTGTGTGTGTGTGTGTGTGTGTGTGTGTGTGTGTGTGTGTGTGTGTGTGTGTGTGTGTGTGTGTTTGTGTGTGTGTGTGTGTGTGTGTGTGTGTGTTGCTTATCCTTGTCCGGACTTATAGTGGTTTTATAGTGCTAGCCCTAGTGAGATACCATGTCGCAGTTTAACACGAACACCCCACTCAGACACAGTAAACTGACTCCGAGCCGACCAGTCCTTGTCTTATCCCCTTAATGCCGAGCGCCAGGCAGGGTAACAACGAGTACCATGTTTTAGCGTCTTTTGGTTTGACGCGACGGGGGATTAAACCAGATGTACTTGACTGTGGTAATAATGATACTGAGCTGAGTTGTGCCCCTATAACAAGCCCCTGTCTGTCTGTGGTATATTAGCCTATGTCGCTACAACACGCCCTTGTCTGTCTGCACTGCATTAGCCTATGTTGCTACAACACGCCGTTGTCTGTCTGCGCTACAATAGCCTATGTCGCTACAACACGTCCCTGTCAGTCTGCGCTACATTAGCCTATGTCGCTAAAACACGCCCTTGTCTGTCTGCGCTACATTAGCCTATGTCGCTACAACACGCCCCTGTCTGTCTGCGCTATATTAGCCTATGTCGCTACAACACGCCCTTGTCTGTCTGCGCTACATTAGCCTATGTTACTACAACACGCCCTTGTCTGTCTGTGCTACAGTAGCCTATGTCGCTACAACACGCCCCTGTCTGTCTGTGCTATATAAGCCTAAGTCGCTAAAACAACCCCTTGTCTGTCTGCGCTACAATAGCCTATGCCGCTACAACACGCCCCTGTCTGTCTGCGCTGCATTAGCCTATGTCGCTACAACACGCCCTTGTCTGTCTGTGCTATATTAGCCTATGTCGCTACAACACGCCCTTGTCTGTCTGTGGTATATTAGCCTATGTCGCTACAACACGCCCTTGTCTGTCTGTGGTATATTAGCCTATGTCGCTACAACACGCCCCTGTCTGCCTGCACTACATTAGCCTATGTCGCTACAACACGCCCTTGTCTGTCTGTGGTATATTAGCCTATGTCGCTACAACACGCTCCTGTCTGCACTGCAATAGCCTATGCCGCTACAACACGCCCCTGTCTGTCTGCGCTGCATTAGCCTATGTCGCTACAACACGCCCTTGTCTGTCTGTGCTATATTAGCCTATGTCGCTACAACACGCCCTTGTCTGTCTGTGCTATATTAGCCTATGTCGCTACAACACGCCCTTGTCTGTCTGTGCTATATAAGCCTATGTCGCTACAACACGCCCTGGTCTGTCTGAGCTATATAAGCCTATGTCGCTACAACACGCCCCTGTCTGTCTGCGCTACATTAGCATATGTCGCTACAACACCCCCTTGTCTGTCTGCGCTACATTAGCGTATGTCGCTACAACACGACCTGTCTGTCTGCGCTACATTAGCCTATGTCGCTACAACACCCCCTTGTCTGTCTGCGCTACATTAGCGTATGTCGCTACAACACGCCTTTGTCTGTCTGCGCTACATTAGCATATGTCGCTACAACACCCCCTTGTCTGTCTGCGCTACATTAGCGTATGTCGCTACAACACGCCTTTGTCTGTCTGCGCTACATTAGCCTATGTCGCTACAACACGCCCCTGTCTGTCTGCGCTACATTAGCGTATGTCGCTACAACACGACCTGTCTGTCTGCGCTACATTAGCCTATGTCGCTACAACACCCCCTTGTCTGTCTGCGCTACATTAGCATATATCGCTACAACACGCCCCTGTCTGTCTGCGCTACATTAGCGTTTGTCTCTACAACACGCCTTTGTCTGTCTGCGCTACATTAGCATATGTCGCTACAACACCCCCTTGTCTGTCTGCGCTACATTAGCCTATGCCGCTACAACACGCCCCTGTCTGTCTGCGCGGCATTAGCCTATGTCGCTACAACACCCCCTTGTCTGTCTGTGCTACATTAGCCTATGTCGCTACAACACGTCCTTGTCTGTCTGTGCTACAGTAGCCTATGTCGCTACAACACGTCCTTGTCTGTCTGTGCTACATTAGCCTATGTCGCTACAACACGCTCCTGTCTGTCTGCGCTACATTAGCCTATGTCGCTACAACACGCTCTTGTCTGTCTGCGCTACATTAGCCTATGTCGCTACAACACGTCCTTGTCTGTCTGCACTACATTAGCCTATGTCGCTACAACACGCTCCTGTCTGTCTGCACTACATTAGCCTATGTCGCTACAACACGTCCTTGTCTGTCTGCGCTATATAAGCCTATGTGGCTACAACAGGCTCCTGTCTGTCTGCGCTACATTAGCCTATGTCGCTACAACACGCTCCTGTCTGTCTGCACTACATTAGCCTATGTCGCTACAACACGTCCTTGTCTGTCTGCACTACATTAGCCTATGTCGCTACAACACGCCCTTGTCTGTCTGTGCTATATAAGCCTATGTTACTACAACACGCCCCTGTCTGTCTGCGCTACATTAGCCTATGTCGCTACAACACGCCCTTGTCTGCCTGCACTACATTAGCCTATGTCGCTACAACACGTCCTTGTCTGTCTGCACTACATTAGCCTATGTCGCTACAACACGCTCCTGTCTGTCTGTGCTACATTAGCCTATGTCGCTACAACACGCCCTTGTCTGTCTGCGCTACATTAGCCTATGTCGCTACAACACGCTCCTGTCTGTCTGTGCTACATTAGCCTATGTCGCTACAACACGTCCTTGTCTGTCTGCACTACATTAGCCTATGTCGCTACAACACGCTCCTGTCTGTCTGCACTACATTAGCCTATGTCGCTACAACACGTCCTTGTCTGTCTGCGCTATATAAGCCTATGTGGCTACAACACGCTCCTGTCTGTCTGCGCTACATTAGCCTATGTCGCTACAACACGCTCCTGTCTGTCTGCACTACATTAGCCTATGTCGCTACAACACGTCCTTGTCTGTCTGCACTACATTAGCCTATGTCGCTACAACACGCCCTTGTCTGTCTGTGCTATATAAGCCTATGTTACTACAACACGCCCTGTCTGTCTGCACTACATTAGCCTATGTCGCTACAACACGTCCTTGTCTGTCTGCGCTACATTAGCCTATGTCGCTACAACACGCCCTTGTCTGTCTGAGCTATATAAGCCTATGTTACTACAACACGCCCTTGTCTGTCTGAGCTATATAAGCCTATGTTACTACAACACGCCCTGTCTGTCTGCACTACATTAGCCTATGTCGCTACAACACGTCCTTGTCTGTCTGCACTACATTAGCCTATGTCGCTACAACACGCCCTTGTCTGTCTGTGCTATATAAGCCTATGTTACTACAACACGCCCTGTCTGTCTGCACTACATTAGCCTATGTCGCTACAACACGTCCTTGTCTGTCTGCGCTACATTAGCCTATGTCGCTACAACACGCCCTTGTCTGTCTGAGCTATATAAGCCTATGTTACTACAACACCCCCTTGTCTGTCTGAGCTATATAAGCCTATGTTACTACAACACGCCCTTGTCTGTCTGCGCTACATTAGCCTATGTCGCTACAACACGCCCCTGTCTGTCTGCACTACATTAGCCTATGTCGCTACAACACGCCCTTGTCTGTCTGAGCTATATAAGCCTATGTTACTACAACACGCCCTTGTCTGTCTGCGCTACATTAGCCTATGTCGCTACAACACGCCCCTGTCTGTCTGCGCTACATTAGCCTCTGTCGCTACAACACGCTCCTGTCTGCACTGCATTAGCCTTTGTCGCTACAACACGCCCCTGTCTGTCTGCGCTACATTAGCCTATTAGCCTATGTCGCTACAACACGCCCTTGTCTGTCTGCGCTACATTAGCCTATGTCGCTACAACACGCTCCTGTCTGCACTGCATTAGCCTTTGTCGCTACAACATGCCCTTGTCTGTCTTCTGCAATGGGGCCGTGTTATATATCAATGTTATATCTGGTAACATCGTCTGTTCATTCATCATGCATGGTACGTTAAAGACTCTATGATCACTGGTATTGACACACGTCACATCCGTTACGGGCAGAATTTGGCGTGTGTATTTATTTATGTCCTACTTTTGATCACTATTCCATCAGAAAAAAATAGTCCCCGGGGCCGTGTGCACTGCTCACTATCAGGAAGAAATGTTTCGGCAAATCTTATCTATCTTCAGACTCAAAATAGCAAAGCAGCATAAATTCAACAACATATGTTTTAAGTTCTGCCCAGCATTCTTGACATATTGCACCAATAAAATGAAATACTTGTTTGCAGGATTGATCGGTGGGCAAGATAGTTGAGTAGAGCTACAGTACAGTCAATGACCGGCGGGTCGTATACTGGTGAGTACAGTTTGTGAGTGCGGGCCAGATACTGGTGTATAGTTACAGTACAGTCAATGACCGGCGGGCCAGATACTGGTGTATAGTTACAGTACAGTCAATGACCGGCGGGCCAGATACTGGTTTATAGTTACAGTACAGTCAATGACCGGCTGGCCAGATACTGGTGTATAGTTACAGTACAGTCAATGACCGGCGGGCCAGATACTGGTGTATAGTTACAGTACAGTCAATGACCGGCGGGCCAGATACTGGTGTATAGTTACAGTACAGTCAATGACCGGCGGGCCAGATACTGGTGTATAGTTACAGTACAGCCAATGACCGGCGGGCCAGATACTGGTGTATAGTTACAGTACAGTCAATGACCGGCGGGCCAGATACTGGTGTATAGTTACAGTACAGCCAATGACCGGCGGGCCAGGTACTGGTGTATAGTTACAGTACAGTCAATGACCGGCGGGCCAGATACTGGTGTATAGTTACAGTACAGCCAATGACCGGCGGGCCAGATACTGGTGTATAGTTACAGTACAGTCAATGACCGGCGGGTCGTATACTGGTGAGTACAGTTTGTGAGTGCGGGCCAGATACTGGTGTATAGTTACAGTACAGTCAATGACCGGCGGGCCAGATACTGGTGTATAGTTACAGTACAGTCAATGACCGGCTGGCCAGATACTGGTGTATAGTTACAGTACAGTCAATGACCGGCGGGCCAGATACTGGTGTATAGTTTCAGTACAGTTGGTGAGGACGGGCCATATACTGGTGTATAGTTACAGTACAGTCAATGACCGGCGGGTCGTATACTGGTGTAGTACAGTTTGTTAGGACGGGCCAGATACTGGTGTATAGTTATAGTACAGTTAGTGAGGACGGGTCATATACTGGTGTAGTACAGTTTGTTAGGACGGGCCACATACTGGTGTATAATTACAGTACAGTTGGTGAGGACGGGCCATATACTGGTGTATAGTTATAGTACAGTTAGTGAGGACGGGCCAGATACTGGTGTAGTACAGTTTGTGAGGACGGGCCAGATACTGGTGTATAGTTACAGTACAGTTAGTTAGTGCGGGCCATATACTGGTGTATAGTTACAGTACAGTTAGTGAGGGCGGACCAGATACTGGTGTATAGTTACAGTACAGTTAGTGAATGAGGGTCATATATTGGTGTATAGTTATAGTACAGTTAGTGAGTGCGGGCCATATACTGGTGTATAGTTACAGTACAGTTAGTGAGGGCGGACCAGATACTGGTGTATAGTTATAGTACAGTTAGTGAGTGCGGGCCATATACTGGTGTATAGTTACAGTACAGTTAGTGAGGGCGGACCAGATACTGGTGTATAGTTACAGTACAGTTAGTGAATGAGGGTCATATACTGGTGTATAGTTATAGTACAGTTAGTGAGGACGGGTCAGATACTGGTGTTTTACAGTTTGTGAGGACGGGACACATACTGGTGTATAGTTACAGTATAGTTAGTGAGGACGGGCCAGATACTGGTGTATAGTTATAGTACAGTAAGTGAGTGCGGGCCACATACTGGTGTATAGTTACAGTACAGTTAGTGAGGGCGGACCAGATACTGGTGTATAGTTATAGTACAGTTAGTGCGTGCGGGCCATATACTGGTGTATAGTTACAGTACAGTTAGTGAGGGCGGACCAGATACTGGTGTATAGTTACAGTACAGTTAGTGAATGAGGGTCATATACTGGTGTATAGTTATAGTACAGTTAGTGAGGACGGGTCAGATACTAGTGTTTTACAGTTTGTGAGGACGGGCCACATACTGGTGTATAGTTACAGTACAGTTTGTGAGGACGGGCCAGATACTGGTGTATAGTTACAGTACAAGGCGCGCCGGGCACTGACATAGAGCAACAATGCAGTTGATTTATATATATATAAAACAACTTTCGTTGCTTCCGTTGCTTGATCTACGGGGTACGTTTTACAATCCCAGCTATGCTGTCTTTATTAGTTTATGTCAGTGTTATCAGCCGAATGTCTGTCGTAGGAAAAAGGGTGGTAATCTACTTCATTAAACTGCTGGTGTAACTTGGATTCGACTGAGTTCATAATTTGAGACTTGACTGAAGGCTTTACTTAAAACGACGTGGTTACGTTATCAGAACAATCTTTTGGTGGGTGAGTTGTTTTGTAATATTGTTATCAAAACCGTTCTTAAGTAAACAGCATGCATGTGGTGCACCCACTTTCTGTAGACACAACCTCGTGCACCGGTTTGGCAGTTTTTTCTGTGTCGAGGAACGCGAGTTTACCACGTGAATCGTGACTTATGCGTGCGATCTCTGAATGTGGGGCGCCGTGGCCTCACAGAGCCTGTAGCTATTCAGTACCATGCTCCAAACGGCTCTGTCCGTTCAGAAATATGTCGGCAGTGCGTCTCGTGCCAATGATTTCCATGATTTTTTTATAACCCAATTAAAATATCCTCAACAGTGAACGAGGTTTTGACATAGAACAGACGGAAATATTGTTTTTTATAGGTACCAGTTGCTTCGTTCTGTGTGTGGCGCATCAACTACTTGATGTAGTGTTGGTGTTTTGATAGTAAATATTTGTTTGTTGTTTAACGACGCAATCGGTAATACTCTAGCTGTAAAACGGTGGTATCTAAATCACCGGCGGAGCCTGGTGGGGTGCAGGCGGGTGCGCTTAATACCCACCCACCCACTTCCCTTTTTTCTGACACCTGAGACGTTAACCGCGCCCATGACATAAACAGACTGGCAAAAGAAAGTATAGAGTTAAAAACTGGATTTGACCCAAATACTACAGACGTTACCAAAACGTTCGGGGGATGGTACTCTTTACTGTGTTGTTTCTTTGTCGATAATTGTACTATGACACAAGCAGGTAAACACAAAACGTCAGTGCCAGACAATAATTACTGTCAATTAGCTGCAGATAACAGATACCACTGAGCGTAAAAGGGAAAATATGAATGGACCAATGAAAATCAGTGATGACACGAGGTTTTCGCGAAAAGGGTTAGCATGCCCTGTCCTACAAACAGATGTTATACAAATTCTCGTCAGCTCTCGTGATATGGAATGCCCATAACTATGTAACAGCTATGATCCGGAGTCAAGTGAGTGAGTATGGTTTTACGCCGCTTTTAGCAATATTCAAGCAATATCACGGCGGGGGACACCAGAAATGGGCTTCACACATTGTACCGATATCGGGAATCGAACCGGGTCTTCGGCCTGACGAGAGAACGCTTTAACCACTAGGCTACCCGACCGCCGTAACCGTAACTTGGACACATCCGATTCGACACATCGGAGGTTAAATAATGATGAAAAACGGAAGAATGCACAGGGACCAAGCTTTTACTTCGAGACAACCGTGAGTTCGACACATTAAAGTTCGACACAACCGTGTTCGATTGTATATAAATAAAATCTGTCTATCGAGAGTTCCCTACCGTCAAACAAAACGTACTCACCCTGCAGAACACCATTACACCCCTGTAAAGAGAAGAAAAAACATTGTCATTCAAATGTGAAGGGAGAGAAATCATGCACGGTACTTACATTGCTAGCATTGACAAAGTATTTTCTGGCTTTTTGTCGGAGCTAATTATTATCGAAACTGTTACAATGCACGCATATTTGTCTGTGCATTCCTGTATATATATACGCACTTTCAAACTGTTAAGTTGCTTCCAGTTGTAAAAACATTATTGTCAGAGGAATAGCTGGCGTGCAGCAACCTGGTTGCTGTGCATATCGGAGATGGTCTGGATAAGACGGAATTAGTCATGCATTTTGCAGCATATTTTGACATCTGGAACCTAGACATGTTTCGTACTCATGTTTTTGAGGCCAACCTTAGTTTTCATTTTGCTCTGTCAACACTTTCAATCTGGCAGGAAGACTTTCATAGACACGAGACGAAAATAATGGCATACACAAGTGAAAAATGATGTCGCGTATTCATTTGAAATTAGGTGAAGCATTGTGAATATGTATCGCATAGTTGACATGGATCTGAAGACGGGAACGCGTTAGATGACGCACTAGTAGACAAATCGAGGCATACTACCAGGCAAATAGCACGGGGAGACAGATCATGGCATGTTACCCAGCAAATAGCACCAGTAGACAAATCGGGGCATGCTACACAGCAAATAGCACCAGTAGACAAATCGAGGCATACTACCCGGCAAATAGCACGGGGAGACAGATCATGGCATGTTACCCAGCAAATAGCACCAGTAGACAAATCGGGGCATGCTACACAGCAAATAGCACGGGGAGACAAATCAGGGAATGTTACCCAGCAAATAGCACGGGGAGACAAATCGTGGCATGCTACCCAGCAAATAGCACCAGTAGACAAATCGGGGCATGCTACCAGGCAAATAGCACGGGTAGACAAATCAGGGAATGTTACCCAGCAAATAGCACGGGGAGACAAATCAGGGCATGCTACACAGCAAATAGCACGGGGAGCCAAATCAGGGAATGTTACCCAGCAAATAGCACGGGGAGACAAATCAGGGCATGTTACCCAGCAAATAGCACGGGTAGAGAAATCAGGGCATGCTACACAGCAAATAGCACAGGGAGACAAATCAGGGAATGTTACCCAGCAAATAGCACGGGGAGACAAATCGTGGCATGTTACCCAGCAAATAGCACGGTAGACAAATCAGGGCATGCTACACAGCAAATAGCAAGGGTAGACAAATCAGGGAATGTTACCCAGCAAAGCATTTGGGTAAACAAACTGTGAGTGACTTCCCAGTATATGACATTTTTGTCGGTCAGTGTATGTGTATGTGATGTCTTTTCCTCAACAAACCTAGCTACTAATCCACCTGCTGTTCAAAGACGGTTAATAGTGGACTACTGACGTTTACTAGATGCACGCGTCTCCAAACACCCCACATTAAGATCTATAAATTATGCTATTATTTCAGGTCATTTAACACGTAGATGGCTTCACCTGTCTCGCGAGGCAGCCTGAATATACATGACTGTCAGCTGGGAGAGGAACGGAGGCTGTCAGTGTGTACAGGCAATGTTTTTTGCTGTGATGTGCCTACCTTGGGAACATACAGGCAGTATTGCTGTGCACAGCCACAACTCTTAGCATCAGCTCGAACGAATAGCCCCAAACTAATGACTGATTGTGTGCTTAAAGTCAGTATATGTGACCACCACTAAAACCGTTTTTTTAAGGTGGATGCGCACATGCCTGCCTTTGGTTTCTAAGCCTGAAGGAATGATACTAAAATATTATTTCCCCCGTTGTGCTGCTTCCATGTTGTGATCTGCTGTCTCGAGCGTCTGGTGGGGACCCCATTTTTCATGCCGTGACCTGCAGTCTCCGCCGTATATGGCGATAACCAGATCTTCCATGCCGTGACCTGCAGTCTCCGCCGTATATGACGATAACCCGATCTTCCAAGCCGTGATCTGCTGTCTCCGCCGTATATGACGATAACCCGATCTTCCAAGCCGTGGTCCACAGTACCGGGCGGCATGACAAGTACCCCATCTTCCAAGCCGCGGTCCACAGTACCGGGCGGCATGACAAGTACCTTATCTTCCAAGCCGCGGTCCACAGTACAGGGCAGCATGCCGTGTACCCCATCTTCCAAGCCGCGGTCCACAGTACCGGGCGGCATGACAAGTGCCCCATCTTCCAAGCCGTGGTCCACAGTACCGGGCGGCATGACAAGTGCCCCATCTTCCAAGCTGTGGTACACAGTACCGGGCGGCATGACGTGTACCCCATCTTCCAAGCCGCGGTCCACAGTACCGGGCGGCATGACAAGTGCCCCATCTTCCAAGCCGTGGTCCACAGTACCGTGCGGCATGACAAGTTACCCGATCTTCCAAGCCGCGGTCAACAGTACCGGGCGGCATGACAAGTACCCTATCATCGAAGCCGTGGTCCACAGTACCGGGCAGCATGCCGTGTACCCCATCTCCCAAGCCGTGGTCCACAGTACCGGGCGGCATGACAAGTTACCCGATCTTCCAAGCCGTGGTCCACAGTACCGGGCGGCATGACAAGTTACCCGATCTTCCAAGCCCTGGTCCACAGTACTCGGCGGCATGACAAGTTACCCGATCTTCCAAGCCCTGGTCCACAGTATCGGGCGGCATGACATGTTACCCGATCTTCCAAGCCGTGGTCCACAGTACCGGGCGGCATGACAAGTTACCCGATCTTCCAAGCCGTGGTCCACAGTATCGGGCGGCATGACATGTTACCCGATCTTCCAAGCCGTGGTCCACAGTACCGGGCGGCATGACTTGTACCCCATCTTCCAAGCCGTGGTCCAGAGTACCGGGCGGCATGACAAGTACCCCACCTTCCAAGCCGCGGTCCACAGTACCGGGCGGCATGACAAGTACCCCATCTTCCAAGCCGTGGTCCACAGTACCGGGCGGCATGACAAGTACCCTATCATCGAAGCCGTGGTCCACAGTACCGGGCGGCATGACAAGTTACCCCATCTTCCAAGCCGTGGTCCACAGTACCGGGCGACATGACAAGTACCCTATCTTCCAAGCCGTGGTCCACAGTACCGGGCAGCATGCCGTGTACCCCATCTTCCAAGCCGCGGTCCACAGTACCGGGCGGCATGACAAGTACCCCACCTTCCAAGCCGCGGTCCACAGTACCGGGCGGCATGACAAGTACCCCATCTTCCAAGCCGTGGTCCACAGTACCGGGCAGCATGCCGTGTACCCCATCTTCCAAGCCGTGGTCCACAGTACCGGGCGGCATGACAAGTACCCCACCTTCCAAGCCGCGGTCCACAGTACCGGGCGGCATGACAAGTACCCCATCTTCCAAGCCGTGGTCCACAGTACCGGGCGGCATGACAAGTACCCTATCATCGAAGCCGTGGTCCACAGTACCGGGCGACATGACAAGTACCCTATCTTCCAAGCCGTGGTCCACAGTACCGGGCGGCATGACAAGTAACCCGATCTTCCAAGCCGTGGTCCACAGTACTGGGCGGCATGACAAGTACCTCATCTTCCAAGCCGCGGTCCACAGTACCGGGCGGCATGACAAGTACCTCATCTTCCAAGCCGCGGTCCACAGTACCGGGCGGCATGACAAGTTACCCCATCTTCCAAGCCGCGGTCCACAGTACCGGGCAGCATACCGTGTACCCAATCTTCCAAGCCGTGGTCCACAGTACTTGGCGGCATGACTTGTACCCCATCTTCCAAGCCGTGGTCCACAGTACCGGGCGGCATGACAAGTGCCCCATCTTCCAAGCCGTGGTCCACAGTACTGGGCGGCATGACAAGTTACCCGATCTTCCAAGCCGTGGTCCACAGTACCGGGCGGCATGACAAGTACCCCATCTTCCAAGCCGCGGTCCACAGTACTGGGCGGCATGACAAGTTACCCGATCTTCCAAGCCGTGGTCCACAGTACCGGGCGGCATGACAAGTACCTCATCTTCCAAGCCGCGGTCCACAGTACCGGGCGGCATGACAAGTACCTCATCTTCCAAGCCGCGGTCCACAGTACCGGGCGGCATGACAAGTACCTCATCTTCCAAGCCGCGGTCCACAGTACCGGGCGGCATGACAAGTTACCCCATCTTCCAAGCCGCGGTCCACAGTACCGGGCGGCATGACAAGTACCCTATCATCGAAGCCGTGGTCCACAGTACCGGGCAGCATACCGTGTACCCAATCTTCCAAGCCGTGGTCCACAGTACTTGGCGGCATGACTTGTACCCCATCTTCCAAGCCGTGGTCCACAGTACCGGGCGGCATGACAAGTGCCCCATATTCCAAGCCGTGGTCCACAGTACTGGGCGGCATGACAAGTTACCCGATCTTCCAAGCCGTGGTCCACAGTACCGGGCGGCATGACAAGTACCCCATCTTCCAAGCCGCGGTCCACAGTACCGGGCAGCATGACAAGTACATGTACCTCATCTTCCAAGCCGTTGTCCACAGTACCGGGCGACATGACAAGTTACCCGATCTTCCAAGCCGTGGTCCACAGTACTGGGCAGCATGACGTGTACCCCATCTTCCAAGCCGTGGTCCACAGTACCGGGCGGCATGACAAGTACCCCATCTTCCAAGCCGCGGTCCACAGTACCGGGCAGCATGACAAGTACATGTACCTCATCTTCCAAGCCGTGGTCCACAGTACCGGGCGGCATGACAAGTTACCCGATCTTCCAAGCCGCGGTCCACAGTACCGGGCGGCATGACGTGTACCCCATCTTCCAAGCCGCGGTCCACAGTACCGGGCGGCATGACGTGTACCCCATCTTCCAAGCCGCGGTCCACAGTACCGGGCGGCATGACAAGTTACCCGATCTTCCAAGCCGCGGTCCACAGTACCGGGCGGCATGACGTGTACCCCATCTTCCAAGCCGCGGTCCACAGTACCGGGCGGCATGACGTGTACCCCATCTTCCAAGCCGCGGTCCACAGTACCGGGCAGCATGACGTGTACCCCATCTTCC